CTTCTGCTCATTTTCATGATCTTTTTAGTGCTGGCTAGCCGGTATATATACAAAATCAAGTTTTGATTTTTTAGAATTTACATGAAATAAGTGGGATATACAATTTTTTATTGAGCCTTAATTTTCTTTGTTTAATTCGTTCGTTCGTTTGTTTGTTTGTTTTTGTGTGTGCGCGCGTTAATTTGTTTGTTTTTTTAACTACTACTGCTGCAATTTTCTAACTTAGTCTTTTATAGATGCTAATTAACACTCCTTGACTTTGTAGAGACATTCCCCAACCTATTTCTTTTTGTCAATCAGCAGTTTTTACACAGAGGTACCCTTTTTATATTTTTATGAACTTATATTTTCTTTCATATATATAGTAAGGAACAATGTGGCTGTAGTTCAAAACTAATCTTAAGTCCTAACATTTTTCCAACCTGCCCATATAATATTTCTGAGGATGTTACCTGGATCGTAGATCCATACGAAAAGATTTTTTATGGAAATTGTAAAAAGACAAACATGGCATAAACATCTGCGTACTTCGAACATAGTGAAGTATAAATTGTGTGCTCATATATAACACATTATAATTTGATTATGTCTGCGTTTGGTTTTCTTCAAGTTGCATCCATAAAATAAAAGGGGTAGGATTAGGTTATGAGAGGCTCCAAAGTTAGGGAATAGTACATCAATTTACATCGCGATACTTACACATTCATCAATTTTACAAATTTTTGTTTATGAATTTCTTTCTATATATGTAAAATTTTGGCACTTCTATTTTTATTATGCTGTGGTATTACGCAAATGCAGGGAAAGCAGAAAAGGGTGGAAGAGTAGGAGGAGGAGAACCTGCACTATATGACAGAAGAGAGAGAGCACAGCCCGACACCGGCGAAAAGGGCGTCGCTGTTGCTGGGTCTGGGCTCTCTTATCTTTCTGTCATATACAATATCTACGGTTTCCTTCTCCTCTTTCAAAACCCTAGCTATCATTATCCCTGTTGACCACAGAAGCTCAATTCTAAGTAATTAATATCAAGGTGAATCTGACATATGTATACGCTTCTGTTGGATATGAGACTAGATCTCTATTACATACGTACGTACTTCAAGCATTTTCATGGCTAATTGGATCAGATGTGTAGGTGAAAAAGATCGAGGCCAGTAAAAGAACCCTTTCACTTTCTTGTTATTTGTTTTTCATCCATTTTTCTCTAAATCATGACGATCAACGTATGAAACTGTGAATTTCTACTGTAAATGAAAGCAATGTTGACATTCTCTAGGGCAAAATAGTTTCAATTGTTAACATTTATATATAGTACTTGCTAATAGTCAGTTTTATTTTCTTTTAAATATCCATTAAGTATTTTTATATAAAATTTTCATGAATATAAGAAGGGGGAAAAAAATCTGACGTAGATGGATATCCAGTCTTTTTTTTCTTTTCTTTTCTTTTTTTTTTCAATTATCCGATACTCCTATGCATCAAATTATGATTAGAACATTAACATCGATTAATTCTGTTCTTGGAACAGTACAACTCAACTGCTCTTGATGCCTAAAAGTGTTACTCTGCAGGGACGTTTATCAAATAAAATGCAGTGATGCACAGTACATACATTGAAATGCAAAGTGAGTAAAGCTCGTATTAGCACCTGAGCAAGAAGGAACTTTCAAATCCATAACGTGTTGGAAGCATAAATAGTTTGATATGTCATTCATGAAATGCTCCATTTATCAAAAAGAGGTATTCGGATTATTTTAAATTAAGCATCTAATATCCGTTTCTGTGCTTTTTCTACGTATACATGCATTAATTCTAACATTTGGCCTCTAATTGATCTTTTGGAAAAAGTCTGCCTGGCGTGAGGGGGTTCAATTGGTTTCTAATTAACCCCATTTGTGAGATTGAGAAGTAAATTTGATTGAATGGAAAAAAATTACAAACTAGGCAAGACATGTATGCGTGAGGGGGGTTCAATTGGTTTCTAATTAACCCCATTCGTGAGATTGAGAAGTAAATTTGATTGAATGGAAACAAACTGCAGACTGGCAGGACATGTATTTTCTATCAGTATGCAAAAAATAAGAGAATCTTCTAGTAAGAAAATTCAACTGGTTTGCATGTGCTAATAAAGCAATAGAATTACATAAAAAGGGGTGACAGATAATTTTCCCATCAGAACTTAACACAAAAATACGGCTAAAAATATAAGGACGCCGTTGCCGGGGATCGAACCCGGGTCACCCGCGTGACAGGCGGGAATACTCACCACTATACTACAACGACCTCACTTGTGAATGAATTAAGAAATTATTAAGACTAGAAGATTAAAATTGCTGCATGACGACCAGGGTTTAATGAGAGGAAGTAATAAGTTTAGATTTAAGTACATTTGTGAGGTTACATTTCAGCGCCTCTTTGTAATACTATCTACAGTAACCTCACTATATGATTTGGGTTTTTTTTATTATGGAAACCACCTAATAAACAGGGTGATTATATAGGAACCACTATATAATATCAAAACTATCTAAAGAATATGTTCTCCCTTTAATCAACCACCCACGGCCATTTTTTGGTGACTTTTTGACCAAATTTCTGATAATACTCTTAATAATTTTTGGGAAAAACATGCATGACATGTGCCCTCATTAAGGGTATTAATGAAAATTTGGTCAAAACGTCAACAAAAATTGTGCGTGCGTGGTTGATTGAAGGAAAAACATACTTTTTAGGTGGTTAATTAGTATAAATTACAAATTGTTGGTGGTTTCTATATAATGACCATACTTATTAGATGGTTTTCATAAAATTAAAAAAAGACCCCGAAACTTTTTACACCTGACAGGGAACTCTCATCTTTGCCTTGAAGAGAGTAATTTTTTTTCCCTCCATTTTGTTATCTATTTGTAAATCCTGCTTTCTCCCAAAAGTTTCACTAACCTCCTCGAATACCGAAGCTTACAGTCTAATCCATCAACCAACCTCGTACATGATCCCCCTACAGTTTTTTTCGCTAACAAAAATGTCTAACATCTACCTTAGAACAAATTTTCAAAACAGCTTCAAACCAGTTTTTATTTTTCAAAACCGACCAACTTTTTTTTTACCAAAATCGACCCATTTTTTGTCACGTCAGCATAATCTCATTTTTAACCAGTCGGGGTTGGCAACCCTGACTATTTAGGAGGTTGTTAAACCCTAATTAGAAGCTTTAAACCCAATTTTTTATGTTCTAAATAGTCGGGGTTGGCAACCCCGACTAATTAGGAAATAAGATTAAGCTGACGAGGCAAAAAGTGAGTCGATTTTGGTAAAAAAAAAGGATTCATATCCTCTCCACTATCTAAAAAGTAGTGGAGAGACCACTACATAATCACAACCATTAATTATCTAGTTGATATCCTCTCCACTATCTAAAAAGTAGTGGAGAGACCACTACATAATCACAACCATTAATTATCTAGTTGATGGTTGTGATTTTTTCTTTGAGTGAGTGGAGAGACCACTACATAATCACAACCATTAATTATCTAGTTGATGGTTGTGATTTTTTCTTTGAGTGTAAATTAGGAATAAGTGCAATACACGGGGCTATGGTGAGTGTTAGATTTAAATTATATCATAACCGTCTATTAAATAATCAACGATTAAGATTAAAAATAGTGATCTCTCCACTATTTTTTTGTAGTGGAGATGATCCAAATTCAAAAAAAAAAAGGATCGGTTTTGAAAATTAAAAACTGGTTTGAGACTGTTTTAAAAATTTGTTCTCTACCTTATCCTTCTTGGATACGATTACCCTCTCTCCATCACACACAAAGATCTTGATATACGTGCTCCTATTTACAAACGACGAGAATTGAGTTGCTTTGGTCATTTCAGTTACCCGCTTTGAACCAAGTTCCAATGAAAAGTGTGAACCGTGAGAGAGCCCAAAGGAAGAGGGGAACTAAACCCCGCCTAATTTACAGAAATTCTTCGGAGGCTGCCGATGTAGGCTTTGATAGAACCAGCTATGTGACAAACACTTGCCTGTTCTGCATTCAACTTGAATTCGAAATGGTTTATATTTTAGAACATCAGACATTTTATTTGCTGTCAAAATTGGAAATTATTAGCATAGAAATCCGAAATAAAAGAATTAGAAATTCTGGTCTGATCGGGAACAGTCGTGTAAACACTCTCCTAAAAGATTGACGATCCGCCTATCCCCCTAGCGCAAACGGTCCTCTCCCCCCTAATGGTAAAAACCCTCGGAATTCAGTCGGCCTCTGAACTCGAGCGAGAGTGGCATAACTTCGGCTCAGATGAAGAACGTTGCCCAACTTGAACTGTAACCGAGAATTTTAGGAGAGAGAGCTCAGTTTTAAGAAGAAGAGAAGTTTTTTCTGTGTTTTCCTCGAACTGATCAAGCCTCCATATATAGGGTTTATAAATCTAGAGCTGTTGCTCATAATCCACGCACGTTCTCCTCAATTGCATAACCCCCGCACGATCAATTGCGTAACCCTCGCACGATCTCCGCAGCCGTTGCGTGACTGAGTCAAGAACAAGTAAAACGTGCAAAAAAGAAGGCTCAAGAAATAAAAAGGATCACACGCGCGTCGCATGTGCGTGTGTGTTATGCAAAGCCCACATAATACAAAACCCAAAACATTATTTAAAGCCCAATAAGAGGAGAACCATTATAAACCATTTACTATTCATCTCATTTTTCAATGTGGAACTATTCACAAAGACAAAATTGTCTTTTCATGCACTACATAGCCAACGTTATTTTGATACCATGTAAACTCCTCTCAATGAGGAGGAAAATAATTTACAGACCAAAGTACGTGCATATACATAGGCTATCCATTCACAACAATTTTAGATGAAGACAGAGGTAAAAAGAAGTAAACTACAATAAAATAAGCACATTGGTATCTGTCTTAGATACAGATGAAGAGAGAGAAATCAACGATTTATTAAATGCACAGAACACTGGCATGTTACAGTTCACCGGAAATGCATCAAATAAACATGTGATCATAATTTGCTAGAGCCACGTCCTCTTGAATTTCTTTCCCTCCACTTAACTACGATGTGAGTATTTAAATTGGGGAAAAAAACTGCAGCCGAATAAATCTCCTGCAGTGGGAAACATAAGTGCAAAATGAGCTATCACAAGAACAAGTGAAGGAACATAGCATTAAAGAATCAAAAATAGAATTTCAATATAGCCAATCTTCCTTCACCTTGAGATTACCATATGAAGGTTTCTTATGAATTCATAATAACCACAGTACGGAAGAGATCCACTTGCAGTGATAAGTGAGAGCAGGATGGTCAAATTATCATACTTCTAGAATTAAAAAACTGTGAGGAAATACAAAAAGGCGTAAGTCTTCTTAAAAAGCCAACTTTGAATCATGTGCTGTAGCAGACTCCATTTTAATGGGAAAAGGCTAAGACAATGACAATGGTGACACTTACATGGTCACAATACTGGGTGGTGTAATGAACGAATCAGTCGAGCTGCAAATGACCCATCAATAGAATGCTTGACCGGATTTGAAGAGTAAAAACCTTTCTCCGTGATGAAATCTGGAGGAATTTTCCCATTTACAGGATCTACAACAAATTCCTAAAACACAACGTATGAAGATATAATGTTTTGTAGCAGAAAGTGTGAAGGAAACAAATGTTCTGTAACACTTCAGAAATCAATTTGACATAATAAAAAACATAATATCCTAAGTTTCATATGTTTGATACAGCATCCTCAAATATAAACTAGCAGGTGAACATGTTTATGCTAGTTTTTTATTAGCAGCTCAATTACATGTACCTTGGAAACTATCTGGTTCTCTTGTTTGAGGACTCATTTTATAGTCCAAAATTTTTACTCATAAAAATACAAGTGCTAAAGTCATTCGATAAGTTTTTTGACCCATAAGTATGAAAGCATGTGTCAATCATCTAGAATCCAGCAGTAGTTCTATTAAAATGTTTTCATAGAACATGTGCTCATCTAAATTCAAATCTCAAGAACAGCTTACCATGATGGCTATCTAAATCCTTCCGATCAAAGTGGGTCCACATCAAAGCAGGTCAACTTGATGATATCCTCAAAGTTTATACCAACTGACCAAAGCGAACTTAGGAACAACAAAAAGACTTTCCGTAATCTAGTCAGGTTATTTCATAGTAGAACCTACCACAACTACAATGCTATTTATTAAGTTCATTAATCAGATAGCAAACCTGCAGAATCCTCCTACGATGAGAAAGAGGCGAAGATGAGGCGGATATTATAAGCTTTGTTAAGTTATTTATCTACTCAAAATATTTCAAGAACTAAATAATGAATAGTATATATATGCTACTATGCCAAACTATAATAATACTTGATAAGTGTACAATCTGCATCCAAACCAATTCATTGGCAAAATCCCTGCAGTAAGCCAAGGCAGCATGAATTGCTATCTTTTTGTTCTTTCCTATTTCAACAAAGGCTGTCTTCAACCTAGAACCTTCCAAAAACCCAAACATTCACTTTACCATTGAGTTAGCATGTTGGCTAGTTTCCAATTGAAATGCAGTGTTCCTAACAAAAGAGCCACAAAAGCTCTCACGTCAGACTTTATGGGTCGCTTTTCTTCAATTTAGCTTTGTTAGCAGTCATCTCCTTGGTTAATTGTGAAAACGGAACAAATTTAGCACTACAAGAAACAAATGAGAACTCAATGTCGTGATAGAATCATCAAACACTATAAAACATCAAACAATGGAAAATTCAGGTCCGCCAAAATTTTATTCAAACAAAAGTAAAGGAAAAAGATGTTTCTGTCGTATGATACCAAAGAAAAAAAACATCCTGGGTATTGAAACTAAAAGACAGACAATACCGGATGCCTAAGAAGAAATGACTTAATCCTCTCTTCATTTTCTTCAGGATCAATGGAGCAAGTACTGTACACAAGCACCCCACCAGGCTTTACCAACCTATTATACAAACATCGAGCGTCAGGTTTGAATATAAGAAAGGAATCCGGTCTCTCTCAGACCAGTTCCCTGATTATTCATTAATACAGGGGACGAATCTAAATAAAGTCAATGAATATTCAAATGAATCTATATTAATAGGCAAAAACTATATACTAAGATACTAGAGAATTCCAACAGGTTATTAGCAAAAGACAGTCTAAAATTATAATACCAATGTTTACCACATGTTTTTTATTGGTTAGTTGCAAGAGTGCGAAGTCAACATCAATGACCAGTTGGAAATGGGAAAAAGGAACTTCTTGGAAATCTATTTAAAAAAAACACCTTGACCAAGGAAATTATGAAAGACACCCTTTGACAAAGCCATAGTACTAGGCTGCCCCATTAGTACCCACTACTACCAGTAAAAAAGACATCCTCCATCATCATATTTCTTGCCCTAACTCATTTCACATCTTATCTATGAATACCAGACCTTAATATCAAACCACCAAACCAAAATTTCATAGTCATGACTCCACTTTTATCCAAACTACTGATTAAAAAAGTTCTCTTCTACCTACATTCATTCTTTTTTTTTCTTTCACTCTTATCCAAACTTTTGATTAAAAAATTTTCTCTTCTACCTACATTCATTCTTTTTTTTTCTTTCCCCCTCTCAGCATTTCATCTTCCTGCCCAGTTTCCTCACAACTAGATAAAAAGGTTGGCAATGAGGAGAAATGTAAAGAAAATGAATGGCCTTTTCTCTTTCCATTAATATTTGGTGTCATATATTTACGAAGTTTCCCTAAAATATCAAGAGACTTCAAATTCTTTTTGCATTATTTTCTGAAAGAGAAAGGGGACATTCTTTTCCACCAAAAAAATCAAGATGAAGATACTAAGACAGTTGAATAGGTCTTTACAGATTTTTCAGGGCTCCGGTGACAATATATCTTGGTTGGTCAACGACATTAGCTCAAACTGATTCTCAAATCTTAGGCTTAAACTAAAAGCTTCCTCCAAAATTTGATATAGAAAATGCTAAACTGCAGCCCTAAGTACTACCACTTGAATGCATATTGATTAGCTAGAGGGTTAGAAATTAATGACCAACATAATGCAGAAACAGAATGGATTCTCTATAATGGTACCAAATGCCCATCAGCCAAAGTGAATAGAGGAGAACGACACCTAGATGCTGCATCAAGTAGCTCATCCTGTAAAAGCTTCAACTGTTCCAAATCTTCTAATTTTCTATTCCACCGCAAGTCCGCCCTCTTATACAAAACACCCAAGAGCAGGATTATTAATACATCCAACAAGGAAAAGTGAGGGCAGAAATACAAACTCAAAACCATCTTCAATTTATGTTCAGATAAACTGTAAGAATTATATTGCAGAGGTGGATATATATACCCACCTTTTGGCATAATGTACGCTTAAACCAATATTCTAGTGTAACATATATTTATATGTGCCTTACAAAGCAAAAAACATACAGTAAATATGGTCAACGTATAGCAAAATGAAGCGTGAACTTTGAAGTGGGATATGTAGGCTTCAATACTTCCCATTTCAATATTTAAAATATCACCATTATACATAAAAGAGAAAAAAGTAAACAAAAACCAGTCTCTCACACACGTGTATGTATATGTATGTGTATAGGCGCACGTGTGCATGTGCACGTGTATTGTGGCTGGCGGGCAGGCCAGTCAGGAGTGTCCTTTTTCAATCATGGCATCAGTATTGTTACTTGAGAGAGAGAGAGAAAGAGAAAGAGAAGTAAAGAAAAGCTACTCTAATAATATGTATGTTGGTGATTTGGAGGGTACGGGGTCCTTTACAGTTACCGAACTAATACGGTTACTTTGAGGGTTAGATTTTGCTTTTTCCTTCGGGGGTAAATGGGAATCAGTAAATGGGTGTGACCTAAGACAGCAAGCACATACACAGTCAACATAACCAGAGTCCTTTCCTATAAAATAAGACTAGGTTGGCTAGCAAGCTCGACTATATAGAACATGCATTTATGTGATGTACTGTGCAAACCTTTTACATGTCAGCTTAGATGTTTATATGAAGACATCAAATATTCATAAGTAAATGAAACATCAGTGGTAGCATACTCATTAATTCAGATTATATGGCAACAGTGACATCATAATTTCAGTATACTATTGTGCTGCTTCCATGTTACTATTTTGTATATTGAATCCAAAGTTATCTAGTAGAGACATGTCACATTCTGCTGCTACCATGTTACTCTATTTTGTTCTGTATACCGAATCCAAAGTTGATCAGTTGAAAAATACCTTGGAAAGCACACCTAATCCGGAGCAAGGAGCATCAAGTAACACTTTATCGGACTTTATTAGATTCTTTTCCTACAAAAAGAAACATAGAAATTTTATAAATAAAAATGAAAATGAAAATTAGTGAGCATGTGGGGGTGGGCAGCTTAGGATTGAAGAGGAAATCAATACCAATTAAATAAAGGTTTAATGACAGATGTAACGCTCAGCAAGTTATTATGCAACAAATATAACATGTAAGCCAGCTCTAAGCTTACACTAATCATCTAAATTCAATATTCAAATGAGTTTGGTTGTACTAAACAAATTTGGTTCGACTTCTATAAAAAAAAAGAAAAGAAAAAGGAAAAGGAGAAGTATCCAAAATTTGGTTCAATTTCTTTTTTTTTAAGGAGAAGGAAAAGTCTCCAAATTTTGGTTTCCATGTATTTCTATAAAATTTGTAGGAAAAGTTTTATGGAATCTCAAAAAGTGGTGTTTTCTTGTTTTTCACTCTTTCTTTGTTTGGTTCAAAATATGAAAACAGGAAAAGCAACTTTATAGAAAATGGGTTGAGTGGAAATAGTAAAGTTTTGTACAAAAATTATTATTTAATTCAATGTGTTAGATTTCTTGGCAATTTCAGCCCATATGGAGAGGAAGTTGAATTCTATAAAATAACACCCTTTTCTCTACTTTGTAGAAACATTTTCTATTAAACTGTGGTGACCCAAACACAGTTTTAAGGAAACTCCAGAAATCAATTAATTACAGAACTGCCACTGAAAGGGGTTTTCTACAAAGTTTTCTACAAAAATGGTGAACCAAACAGCCTCTTCAGTCGTCCAACTTTGCAAGCCTGATACTTTGAACAACCTACTATCTGGCCTCCCATGCTCAACTTTGAATAATGAACCGTGTCAAATCCCGTGACCCTATAAACTCCCCCTCCCCCAACCTAAACCATGCTTTTTGTTCATAATCTCACTTCGAGGAAAATCATGTTTCTTCCTTCATGTTACATTTGAAAAAAAATAGCATGGAGGATCTTCACTACGTTCTACCTATCTGGATATCTTCACAATAGAAATCTCACACCAAAGGCAATTATATGATGTAGCTTATATCATAGTAACAAGTAATTGGAGAAGGGTCACAGGTCTGCAGCATGCTAAGTCGTAAGCATAAGGAGTTCCACAGTACTAATGAAAAATATAATCGACAAAAAGTACCCTCAAATAATAGTAGTCCAATAAAAAAAACACATATAAGATGTACAGTAGCTAAGATAAAATCAAATATACTTGTACACATAAGTGGAAATGATCATAATTCACAATCTGTTCTATTGCATAAATTGTTACTCACAGAAAATAATCGAAGGTCAGCACAACAAGTGATGACCACACCATCTAAACCATGCAACTTGGTGGTCTCTTTAAGAATTCTTAAGCGGCCTTTATTTATGTCAATTGCCAATACCTTACCTGCAACATGATAAGACATTCTAGTCTATTCAAACTACTTTTAAAAGAGAGCCTAGATATTAAAAGTGGAGTAAGCAACAATATAAAGACAACTTCATTAAACTAAATCATACTCATCACCTACTAATGTCGGTAAGCATATGCATATGAAAATTGATTGTTCATTATAGTAGAGAAACCACTCGCACGGCATTCATGTTAAGTGCACATAAATAAAGACATGCAAGAGTGCAGCCTGAGGAATGTTGTAATAACCCCAAGTAAATAGTTAATTAAAAAAAGATTGGCGAAGTACATGTAAATCACAAAGTTTGAGAGGTGCTGTGCAAAAATACCAAACTTCTTCCTGATGTGGGAGAAAGAAAACTTCTCGGACTAGAATTGGTACAACAAGCAATTGATAAGATTCAATTAGTTAGGGAACATCTTCGCAATGCAAAATCGTCAGAAGAGTTATGCTGATCAAAGAAGGAGAGAATTAGAATTTCAAGTCGGCGATCATGTATTATTAAAAGTTTCGCCTACCCAATGAGTGAAAAGATTTGGAATATAAGGGAAGTTAAGCCCGAGATTCGTTAATCCTTTTGAGATTCTGAAACGAGTTAGTCCAGTGGCGTATAAATTAGTATTACCGCCATCTCTATCTTAAATATGCTAAAGTGCATGAACTCTTGTGGCTCAATGCATCAGCAACAACATTCGCCTTGCCCGGGTTATAATTGATGGTCATGTCATAATCTTCTAGAAACTCCAACCATCTTCTTTGCCACAAAATTCAACTCCTTCTGAGTAAATATATATTTCAAACTCTTGTGATTAGTGTATATTTTACAATGTACTCCGTATAAATAATGTCTCCAAATCTTGAGAGCAAACACTACTGCCACTAACTCCAAGTATTGAGTGAGGTAGTTCTATTCATAAGACTTTAACTGCCTTGAAGCACGCTATGACTTTCCCATTTGCATAAAAACACACCCCAATCCTCTCCTAGAGGCATCATTATAGATAGCAAAGTTTGTATCTCTAGAGGGTAATGTCAGTATTGGAGTAGACACTAGTCACATTTTTAGCTCTTGATAGCTTTTCTCACATTCATTTGACTAAAAGAATTTAACTCCATTTTAGGTAAGATGAGTCAGATGTGAGGCAATATAAGAAAATTCTTCCACAAATTTTCTATAGTAGCCAGCCATACTAAGGAACTACGGATCTCCGTCACGCTAGTTGGTTTGTCCCAATTAACTATAGCTTTTATCTTTTTAGAGTCCACAGAAATCCCTTCTTTAAAGATTACATGTCCAAGAAATGCTACTTTCTCCAACCAAAACTCACATTGCTTAAGTTTGGCATATAATTTTTCTCTCTTTAATGTTTGCAGCACACATCTCAGGTGTTCATGTTGATCTTTAACTGATAGTAATCAGAACGGAGATCAATCTTGAAAAATACTTGAGCTCCTTGCAGTTGATCAAGTAGATCATCAATTCTCAGTAATTGATACTTGTTCTGAATGGTTACCTTATTAAATTCACGAAAGTCAATACATAGTCTCATACTACCATTTTTTTCTCACAAATAATACTAGCGCACCCCATGGTGACACACTAAGACGAATGAAGACTTTATCTAAAAGTTTTTACAATTGCACCTTGAGCTCTCTCAATTTAGCTGGTGTCATGCGATAAGGAGCCTTAGAAATTGGACTTGTACCGGTTCCCAAGTCAATTGAAAATTCAATTTCCCTATCCGGAGGCATTCCTGAAAGTTCTTCTGGAATACTTCTCGAAATTCTCGGACAGCTAGCCTCTCCTCTAGGCTTGATTTTCCTTCATCAATAATTTCAACTAAAGCCAAGTAACTCATGCATCCACTTCTCAGTGCCCAATATGCTTTAACACCTGAGATGATTTTTAAGGGTTCTTGAAATTTACAACCCACAAAACAAAATTATGGTTGACCCGGAAATTTAAATACTACTTTCTTTTTTTGACATAAAATAGAAGCATGATTTAAAGATAACCAATCTATTCCTAATACGACATCACAATCATGCATTTCCAGCATTACTATTCAGCTGGAAGTTCCTTGTCGAGAATATTAATTTTACTCCTACAACCATGATTTGATACTAATATAGGCTTGACTTGTGCACGGGACTCGTCTTGTGCATAGGTCGCTTATGTCGCACAACCAGTATTTATAAATTTTCGTTGTAGTTTCGGGGCGTGACAAATATGACATAATTCTCTTGTTGAAAAATAAAGCTCTAGATTTTTTAACCATTAATGAAGTCCATTTTTTCCTCATTGTAATACTATCATTTGTTCTAAAGAATGAAGCAAACTAAAATTTATCTTCCTAGTGACAGACTTGATCCAAATAAATACCAGAATTCACATTGACATGATATATAATGACTGTGATAGAGTTGCAGTAAACATAAAAGTAAGCTATAAAATTTTTGGAACTTATTTATAGTAAATTAAAACAATTAGTTGGTTCAAAGATGCTAAGCTCAGACAAAACGCACATAGGATAAATTAACATTGAAGATAAAAGTTTTAATAGAGTACAACCATCAAGACAGGACACAGCAACGGGAGCAAATAGTCCACCTTCTCTAATGCAATTACTTTGCTGATACGTTACCTTGACCTCTCATGCGTGATCCCATAAAAAGCGTCTTTCCACCAGGTGCAGCACAGCAATCAATGATAGTCTCTCCGGGTTGTGGATCCAACACAGACACCACAAGACCTGAGAATGAACTGTGGTTGAATTATAGAAGACCGTAGCCTGATTAGACCCAATCATATTCAAGTTAAGTGTAACAACTTGAACAAAACTTTGAGCAGAAAGCAAATATGATTTTAAAAACTAGATCTACTTCAGCTATGAACTATACAACCTTCTCAAATACCTGAAATATCCTTCAGTGATGCTTGAGAAATGTTGATGTAGGATATTCGATTTATCACTAAGTCACAATGTATCCAAAGGATCCCATTCAAAACACACTGCTATTGTACAAGTTTAACAGGTACTACATGTTCAAGGAATATGCAAAAACTGTTCCAAGTGCAACAGGGTATCAGTGAGGTTGATACACTAGAGTTATATCTTAAGTTAGACATTCAATAAATTACGTAACTTAAGCTGTATCAGTGATGCCGAACCTATTCCAATTCCGATAGCTCGGACTCGGATCATGGGGATAGTCGGAATACTTCGTATCAACAAATAAAGTACTTGGTATATCAATATTGATTAGATCCGAAATCTGTTGTTGATTTGTTCATTCAATGAGCATTCTCAATATTATGCCTTGAAGTGGACTCTAACGTCCACGCTCTTTAGCACGAGAGTTTGAGCCTCTGGGATTGTATATCCAAGTTAGAATTTCAACATAAATTCTAGCAAAATAATTTTCATGAAGGACACTAACCTTTTAGATTGAGAGAAATTAAATAATGGATTATAATCAACTTATAAAGTTATCACAAAGAAGTACACATTAAATGGGGACTATGAAGCCATAAATCTGCCAAACACTAAAATCTGGATCCTGTATAAGCTATGTCTCATCTACCAAATAAGATACTCATAAACCTGATCTTAGAGCATATACTTATAAAGCTGATCTTAGAGCAGAAGAAATTCCTATCACATTCAGTATTTGCTTGTGCCGAAACTTCTACACCTCTTAGTAGCAAGGTTTTAAATATCGGACATCGGGGAAATATCGGATGGCCAAAATTCATATCGGATTGCGGATATCGGGGAAATATCGGGGATATGTGGTAAATATCGGAATGCCATAATGAATGTTTGCATACATAGTATAATGCATTAAAATGTAATCTCAACATACGTAATGAAATTTAAACATACAAAATATGAATAATATATGTTTAGGATCACTAATCAACCTTCTAAAACAAACAAAAGTGCAAAGCAACGTTGCAACATTCGATCTGTTTTTTTTAGGGCAAAATGTCATTTGATATAATGGGAAAATCTTGATATCTCGCCCAAAAAGTCCAAACACGGTATATTATTTTACAACAAGCTATATAAAAAGATATATTGGTCCACATATCGGCTAATATATCGGCCATATCGGGGATTTATCACTCAAAATAGCCAAAAAACGATAAATGATATTTAAAAACCATATCGGTTGCGACAAACCCTGTGAAAAGATATATCGGATGATATATCGGGCCATATCAGGGATATTTAAAACAATGCTTAGTAGCATTATACCACTGGAGGTCTAGCTTTTTTAAACCAAAATGATGGGTTAGTTTAAGACTGTTCTCATAAACCAAAAGGATGGGTTAGTTTAAGACTGTTCTCAAAGGTACCTCACAGAAATTTCATAGTCAGATTTCCTTTTTGAGATGACACTTCATGGTCAGTGATCAAAGCACAGCATTTTTCCCATAATTTTCTCTACATATACTAGTTTTGAATAATTTTTAGTAATATAGCGATGGAAGAATTCGATAGGAGAATCATGCATGAACCAATAAAAGTGATGGTCATATGATAACATAAGTAAAGATGATGACCAAACTGAGTACAACAGAAGCAGCAAAATGCTTGCACCACCTAAAATTAAAAGGGAAATAATATGTGGAATGTTGTGCGCAGCGAAAATTTCGACAGCACCTCAGAAGCACCTCGACGCAACAAGATAGTAAGATCACAATAGGAATTCCTGTTTCACCAAGGAAACAAGAACCAAAAGCAAAATATCTCAACAAAGTGGGATATCAGCTCTTCCTCTCATCAGTTCTAGGACTGACCTGTCGAGGGAACCTAAATAAGCTATTACAAATCACACAAACAATGAGACAAACTAATTTTATGTGATTCGGTAAATTACCTACGTCCACGGGACAAGGAAGGGGGAGATCTACTATTAGAGAGACTACAAATAGGGTTTACAATCACACAACTTAAACCCTCAAACAAACACTCAAATCTCACACAAAATTCTCCATCAATGGATGCACAAACCCTTTCAAATTCGGCTCCAAAGAGTGCTCTCAAATTCGGCGCAGACCTTCTTTTCTTTTCTTCTTGCCGCAGCTAAAAATTCGCCTTTACTGAAGAAAAATCCTTGCACGAAACCCTAGAAGAGAGCCGATTTTTCCCCTCTGCATGCGCACTGCACAAAACCCTAGGCAAGCTATATATATAGCTTCGAATATCGGGTGGGCCTTTCAGGCGGTTTTCCCCGCTGTTCGTGGGTGTGGGCCCCACAACCAACAACCTTTCACGCGGTTTTCTTTCCGCGTTCACACTTGTGGCCCCCATGCCCACGTTCACAATTCTCCACCTCGGTGAAGTTTTCCCAAAACTGAACCGACGCCAAAGCAACCAAATATCCCACTTGTTGTGTCCAGTATGCCGTGAAGTTAATTCACGATAACAGACTCAATCCACAACAAGTCGGGAACCCGAATGAGAATGCGAACAAACTCCAAACTTCGGTATCTACTCCCAAATCGACTGCATCATAAATGACTGTCTATGTATCCCTTTGTCCAGGGAATCAAGCATTCACGTAGTTCACCCAAATGGCCGCCAACGGCCTCAACAATCACGAATGTACAACAAGTTTCGACAATGATCAAACTTGTTGTTCGGAACCACCTTAGTGAGCATATCCGCTGGATTATCCTTCGTGTGGATTTTCACAATCTTCACATCGTCATCTTCAAGAACATCCCGAACGAAGTGATAGCGAACGTCAATGTGCTTCGTCTTTGCATGAAAAACCTGATTTTTCACCAAATAGATAGCACTCATGCTATCATAATGAATAGTGACGAACCTCTGCGATATACCAAGTTCCTTAAAAAATCCTCGAAGTCAAATAGCCTCATTCACAGCCTCCGTAACCGTCATATACTCTGTATCCGTCGTAGACAAAACCGAAGTCAAATAGCCTCATTCACAGCCTCCGTAACCGTCATATACTCTGTATCCGTCGTAGACAAAACCACCGTAGACTGTAAGGTGCATCTTCAACACATCGGCGCATGGGTCAAAGTGAACACATACCCCGTCGTAGACCGATGCTTATCCAAATTCCCGGCATAATCCGAATCAACGTAACCAATACATAACTGCCCACCTGTAGTGTCCCGCTCATAAATCAAACCAACATTAAGCATACCTCGAATGTACCTTAAAATCCATCACACGGCGTCCCAATGACCCACTCCTGGATCGTGCATGTATCTTGAAACCATGCTCACCGCATGTGACAAATCTGACCTCGTACATACCATCGCGTACATTAAACTCCCAACCGCGCTCGCATATGAAGTCTTCGACATCAACTCTCTATCTTCAACTGTCTTCGGTGAAAGGTCAGCTGAAAGCTTCAAATGGGCTCCTAATGGTACACTAACTGTGATAAATCTGGCCTCGTACATACCATCGCGTACATTAAACTCCCAACCGTGCTCGCATATGGAGTTTTCGAAATCAACTCTCTATCTTCAACTGTCTTCGGTGAAAGGTCAGTTGAAAGCTTCAAATGGGCTCCCAATGGTACACTAACTGGCTTTGTATCCATGCTAACATGAAATCGCTGTAGAACCTTCTTCAAATAAGTCACCTATGTCAAACAAATTCTGTCCTTATTCTTGTCTCTGCCGATCTTCATCCCTAAAATACGCTTCGCCTCACTCAAATCCTTCATCTCAAACTCCTTTGAAAGCTGTGTCTTCAACTCATCTATAGGCTATAGCATATCTGGAAATAGAGGCAACTAACATTTCATCGATATAAAGTAACAAATAGATGTAACACATCCTTTCAACTTGCAAAAATATACGCAATGATCAAACTGGCTCCGAGTGTACGAATGACCAATCATAAAACCATCGAATCGCCTATACCACTGTCGAGGAGACTACTACAAACCGTATAGAGATTTCTTCAATCTGCAAACCAATTTTCTTTTCCTGCAGCTCGGAATCCTAATGACCGAGTCATATATATTTCTTCATCAAGATCACCATAAAGAAATATCGTCTTTACATCTAACTGATCTAACTCTAAACCATATTGTGCCACCAAAGCTAGCAAAATCCGAATCGAAGAGTGCTTCACCACCGGAGAGAAAACATCATTATAATCAATACATCCTCCTGTGCATAGCCCTTCGTAACCAACCTATGTTTGAATCTCAATGGAGTGCCCTCAATGTCCTCATTCTTCATGTATACCCACTTGTAACCAATTACCTTCCGTCCTTTTGGAAGCTCAACAAGCTCCCACGTAACATTCTTATGAAGAGACTCTATCTCCTCCTACATAGCCACCTGCAACGAATCAGCCTCCGAGCTCTGCTCGACCTCTCTGAATGTAGTAAGCATCATCTCATAGATACTCTCCATCGGAAGTGCATACGCAACTGTGTCGGTATACCGTGCTGGTATCTGTATGTCTCTTTTCTGTCTCCGAACCGTAATAGAATCTTGAACCTGAGCCGTCAGTCCCTGATCCTGCACATCAGTACCTGTATCCTCTGTGTCATCGTCGTGCTCGCCTGGCGTCATTTTAGTCGATATTCTAATGGATACTGCATCATCTGGATACTCTGAAGCTACATAGATCTCCATCACCTGTGATATCTCCTCTGACGGGTCGCTCTCCACCTGATGAGAGCTGAGAAGTTTCAAGATAGAAGCCTCATTAAACGTGATGTCCTTACCCAGCACAATCTTCCTATCAACTGGATCTCATAGCTTATATCTTTTGACACCACCCTTGAATCCTACAAATATGGTCTTCCTAGCTTGAGGTTCCAATTTATCTGTTCTCACATGATAAAATACAGGGCATCCAAATACCTTAAGTAGGTCATAGTTGTGTGCTGGCTCTCCCGATCACATCTTCATAGGGGTCTTCCCCTCAATCGTAGATGAATACAGCATGTTAATGAGATGGCTCGCATATGAAAGTACCTCAGCCAAAAAAATCTTCTCCAAACCACTATGCGCCAACAAACATCGTATCTTCTCCAACAAAGACCGATTTAACCTCTCTGTCATCCAATTCTACTGCGGTGTATGACTAACCGTGAAGTGCATCTTTATATCCTCGTCTCGATATAGCTGCAGAAAGGGGTCTGAAGTATATTCACTACCGTTGTCGGATCGCAACGTCTTCATCTTTCTCCCAGTCTGCAATTCCAACATCTTCTTCCACTCCACGAATATATCTAGGACTTCACTCTTCTTTGCCATGGTGTACACCAAACATCGCCTAGAATAGTCATCAACGAACGTGACGAACCAATGTCAACCACCAAGTGATGCAGTTTTGGTGGGACCCCAAACGTCTGTATGCACGTAGTCCAGGATGCCCCTCGTCCTGTGAATGGTTGTCCCGAACTTCACCTTCGTCTTTTTTCCAAGTACAGTGCTCACAGAACTCCACTTTACCACTCTTGGCTTCCTTCAATAGCCCCTACTTGTACAGCACCTGCAGTGATTTCTCACCTGTGTGTTCTAACCTATAATGCCAAAACATGCTCATGTTCGCCTCTGAAATAGCTGAAGCAACCTGTCCAATCTCGGTGCTCCTCTTCAGATAGTATAAATTTTAACTGTGAACTCCCTTCATCACCACCAAAGATCCCTTAGTAATCTTCACTATAGCATTTTCAAATATCACCTTGAATCCTTTTGCCTCTAAAGCTCCAACTGAGATAAGATTCTTCTTTAGCTGATGAACAAATCTCACTCCTTCAATTCACGAACTACTCCATCGTGCATCCGGATCCGCATAGTACCTATCCCACAAATATCACAGGACTGATCATTTTCTATGACTACAACTCCCCCATCGAGCTTTTCAAAAGATACAAATCAATCTCGCCTAGGGGTCACATGATAGATAACACCGGAATCAAGCATCCAATCTGATGCATCCAAGTGGTTCACCTCCGGAGTAATCAGTAGAGAAAAGCTTAAATCATCGGAATCATCGCCTTTCGTAATATTCATCTCATTGGCCTTCGGGCCTTTTTTCTTTCCATTCTCCTTCTCCTTGAGCTTCGGGCAGTCTCTCTTCCAATATCCCTGCTCTTTGCAGAATGCACATTGGTTTTTTACTAATTGATGACGGCTTCTTGACTTTGACCTCCCTCTATTACTACCTTTCGGATATGAACTTCTACCTCTCGTCGACCAGGTCTCGCCTGAAGTACTAGCACGGGAAGTCTCCTTGTCCTTCCTCCTCAAATCATAATTCGTCAATGCATTAGTAACTTCACTATAGCTGATAGAAGATCTCTCGTTTAACAAAATGCGCACAAAGGTGTCATACTCCTCATCCTGTAAGGAGCCCAATAAGATAATAGCCTTATACTCATCCGAAATCTTTTCATCAATATTCGCTAAGTACGACAACAACTTCGTATAGTTGTTCACATAAACCGCAAGCGAGGTACCTCTGGACATCTAAAATCTGAATAACCTACACAGCAAGTACAACCGGTTCTCAACACTCTTCGTAAGGTACTTATTGTTGAGAATTTCCCACATCTTCATTGCAGACGTCACCCTAATCATATCATACTTCAACTCCTGTTCTAAACAGGATCTAATCACCCCACAAACGTTCCTATTCATCTTTTCCCATATCGTCTCTTCATATTTTGGTGGTCTCTCATGGACCATGATAGCCTCCTTCTGAGCATTGAGCGCATTCTGTACGTCACTCACCCACAAACCAAAGTTGATTTTACTGTCATACTTCACCACACTAATTTTGATGTTCTGAAAACCAACTTGAACTGTACTCGCCATCGACTTGCTGCTTTCACCTTCTTTTCTCATTGCAAACTAACTCCAAGTTGTAGAGAAAGAATCAAACTTTAATAGAAATTAAGAATTACCCAACTGAACCCTAGATCGGATTCCAAATAGATCTCCTATCCACACGAGGAAAGCAAAATCTCCAACGCAACTCCTAATGTTATCTCCACCGAAGCCTAGAACTCTAAGAACCAAGCTTCACACAAGAATCTTCCTCCACCTAATTCCAAAACCCTAGATTTGAAGCCTGGGTTCTGATGCTACTTGTTGTGCGCAGCGAAAATTTCGACAGCACCTCGACGTAACAAGATAGTAAGACCACAATAAGAATTCATGTTTCACTAAGGAAACAATAACCAAAAGTAAAATATCTCAACAAAATAGGATATCAGCTCTTCCTCTCATCAGTTCTAGGACTGACCTGTCGAGGGAACTTAAATAAGCTATTACAAATTACACAAATAGCGAGACAAGCTAATTTTACGTGGTTCGACAAATTGCCTACGTCCACAGGACAAGGAGGGGAAGATCTACTATTAGAGAGAATACAAATAGGGTTTACAATCACACAACTTAAATCCTCAAACAAACTCTCAAATCTCACACAAAATTCTCCACCAATGGATGCACAAACCCTCTCAAATTCGGCTCCAAAGAGTGCTCTCAAATTCAGCGCCGATCTTTTCTTTTCTTTCTTGCCGCAACCAAAAATTCACCTTTACCGGAAAAAAAAAATCCTTGCACGAAACCTTAGAAGAGAGCCGATTTTTCCCCTTTGCTTGCGCACTGCACAAAACCCTAGGCAAGCTATATATATAGCTTCGAATATCAGATGGGCCTTTCACGCGGTTTTCCCCGCTGTTCGTGGGTGTGGTCCCCACAAGCAACAACCTTTCATGCGGTTTTCTTTCTGCGTTCACACTTGTGGCCCCCATGCCCACGTTCACATGGAATTATAAGAAATCATAAGACAATATGCTTAATACATCTGATGGAAGGCACAAGATAGTTATGATAGTAATGGAGCGATGACATCTAAAATAGCTTATTGGTAGTGAATATAGCAGTTGTTGAATAGTAGTTTCAACTTGGCTATGTTACAGGTCCAATAGTAAACAGCAGCTTTCACAAAACAGTCAATTCATAACCAATGAGATCAAGTTAGATTGTTTTTAGGTTAGGTAAGTGCTGACCTGCACTCTCATCTTGAACTGAACATAACCCTTCTTTTAGTAATCCAGCTTGAATGACAATCTGAGTAAATGGGAAGAAATTGACCAGGAACCAAATAAGTACTTGCAAAGACCAATTAGTCAAACTAAAAAATTGAAGACAAAACTTTTATGGTTATTGACTAAAAATCTAGGTAGATTCAACAGTGTACTGTTACAGAAGTAAGTCTGGAGGCAATATTAACTACATATGTATGTCTTTCATTAACAGATGCACAAATATTTTTTAAAGATTGCTTGCTTTGAGGAACACCCAGAAGATAATTTTAAGTCACACTGAAGAAGATGAAGATCTATAGTAGCCGCAGTCCAGGTGGTATGTGTATTTGATGACTACTCTCTGTCCACTTTTTGTTTTACACTACTTCGTATTCTTCTTGCTTGTTTCATATAAATGCTTCAATCAAGCATTGTTCTTATGGAACCAGGCAGAAAGAAGAACTCGTAACTTCAATTTTCTTACCCTTCTTCAAAGCTACAGCGAGGCAGCTACATTTTCCGTCTTTATTTGCTCGAACCATAAGTAGAAAATAAAATGACAATACATCTTAGAGTACAACTTGATAATGAGAAAATTCATAGATTTTGCACCAATGAACAATGGAAAGTGCCAAATGTTTGGGAACTATCTAAGGAGTTAGGATTAAGAAGTAAGAAGACAGAAAGCATGAAAGCACATAGAATCTATTGTATTAAATCGTTCTTACATAGAAACCAGTGATCAGAAAGCACCAAATGAGATAACACATTAAGTTACTGATGAACCAAGAGCATGATAACATATGTCTGGGAGGCCTCAATAAGAATATGGAAGTGCCACGTGTACTTTTCCATTTCTCCTATCTGACCAGGACAGGATTAGTATCTTTCACTAGATGTCACTTATCCCTTCAGTTGGAAGTTTAATGTGAAGCCGCTAATCCTTAACTAGAATCGAAATAAGCAACATAGGGATAGTTGTCCAGTGCAATCAGATCTGCAAACATGCTTGAAGTTCAGTGAGCCATAAGTTCAAATTCTGCTCCCTGATGTTGTATTTAGAAGGCTAATACAAAAGAATTTCAGTCAGACTATGAACTTGACTTTCAGTCAGACTATGAACTTAACTAAGTATATGTTACAAGCTTAAGAACTATTTTCTAATATTGCAATCAATCAACTATGACTTTGGTACCAACACGACATGTGATCAACAGTGAAAGTGACGATCTTTGCTTGTTGGTTCAGGTACTGGTCTGGTTGACTACCAACGATGTGAGATTGTTTTCGTGTCAGCGGAATACTGGTTGCTATTCTTTTTAAAAGAAATCTATCTAACTCATCCGGTTTTCCAAGGCTAATACCCAACAGGCCAAACTGTAGGCCTTTTCTTCTCCTGTTGCTCACACTCTTCATGACCTATTGCATGGTACAAAGAAGAGAGCATGGAAGAAAGAGCAAGGAAGCTAAGAAGAAGGCCAGTACTGGTTATAAAGATGATTCACTATGTTCCATGTAATGCTGGACTTCATTTATTCCTGATTGACATTCCTTAATCATTCACTGGTGAGATTACTGGTACAACTTTGATGTGTTGAACAACTTTGCAATGTCATAGCAAGACATTTACTTTGTTGGTCCCCGGAATAGACATTTGAAGAAGCTATATAAGCTCTTGAGTCAACAAGTACTTAACAATTCTTGAACCAGCATCCTCGTATCTTTGCATATAGTAGAAAGATGAATCAGTAAGATAGATGATTAAAAGTGTATCATTTTTTTCCAAAGAAGTACCTTGCTCAATACGGGTAGCTCATTCAGAAACTATTCTTATTCTAAAATTTATCCTGCAACTCCAAGAAGGATAATTGTGCCAGCTATTTAACCAGTTATCACACAAGTACATGAAAACATCCTGATAACGAAATGCAGCATGGAGTTATACTCCAATGCAATATTGTTAATTGATTATCATGTCCAAATACCACTTTTGCAGTGAATAGTCCCTCACTCATGAAAATTTTGATAAATATTCCCAGGACAGAAACAATATTTCAGAATCCAAAATAATTGAATAGACCATTCCTCCTTAGTTATGCTAAATTGTGGATTTGAATTTGAGTGTGATACGTTCATATGATGCACTGGAAGCACTGCTGATGTTTAATAGAATAATAGATCCTTATCTAACATGACAATGAAAAAATATTTCGATGTCAACAAATTAGATAATATTGACAAGATAACAGACAACTAAATTTTCGTCATACCTGCATACCTCTTTGTATGCGAACAAAATCATCATTGTATGTAGAGATTTCATGTGGAACCTGAGTTAACAAACAAATAAAATTTAGATCGTAACAATGAAGAAACTACTATCTTTTAGACTACTAGCTTCTAGACATTTCTAAGCATGAGGATGACACAGATGGTACTTAACTGCCGAGAAACTGCTTCAAAAATATAAATTTAGAGGGTACTTAACTGCCAAGAAACTAATTCAAAAATATATCTTTAGAGTTTAGTTGACACAGGAGACACAGTGAATTATTCAACTATTAAGTCTTTCAAATGCAAGTCATATAGCCTTTCCCTGCAGCATAAGACTAGAGTATGGTCTGTGATAACATGTACAATTGTTGAGGCCCTATCTTTTGTAACTCAATCATTTTATCAACACCCTTAATCTCCTAGGCCCTATCTTTTGTAACTCAATCATTTTATCAACACCCTTAATCTCCTAGCTTGAGAAACATGCATGGAAACATAGAATTGAGAAATAAAAAAAGAGTTCATTTTCTTAAGGTAAAATCTTGAAAAACAAGCATGAAAAATAGAATTGAGCAAATTCTCTGACCCAATTAAAATCAAATATTACAAAGTAAACCACACAAATCGAACTTGTAATATAGTACCTTCAAAGTGTTCAGTTGAGTAACAAGGTCATCCCTCGTATAGCCTTTCCAAGTGTTCACCCTGAAGTCACTGTTCATCAGATGTACAGAACAGTAGGTGGTTTAGATTTATTGAGTGAAAGAAATATGATTCTATCTGAACCTGATGCTGAAACTAGGATCACTATTGTTCCAGTTCATTAGTCTCACAGCCTCCTCTCGCCCAAGAAATTTTATCCACCTCCTCACCATCCACTAAACAAACAGAGAGATGCACATTATAACCTTTTCCAGTATTTTATGTTCCTCCCTTTATGCTATAGGCCTATATTATCATTAAGTTTGTTCTAATCAAACAAAGTTCTTATACATGTGCAGCTGAAATTTCCAAACAATGTATAAACATAAACTCACGACTGGATGAGAATGAATAATGGCAAGAGCTCGTGCTCGTGCACGATCATCACCTTCAAGCTTTGGTAGTGGAAGTGAATTTGTTCCCTACATCAGTAAATGAAAATGAAGACTGAGGTTAGAAGCTCTGACCTAAAGATCATGTAAAGAAAAATGCACATGCTTTGTAATTCCGAACCTTGAGTAAAACTAGCTTCCTCAATATCCCATTTACCAAGTTCCCTGCACCAGGCCTTAGAGCTACTTTTGCAAGTCTAACATTCTATAATTCCAGAAAGATGATATAATCAGATAAAATAATGCAAATTGGATAGACTAGTATCATCCTACTAGTAAGTATAGTTAACGCAAAGAAACTATCATGACGAAAACATAGAGATTAGAGGGAAGAGGGAATTGAAACATCAAAATTTAAACCTAATAGATATAACATTTCATTTTTTTATGAACTTATGACAAATTTAAGAGAAGTTATTCTCAAAGCCATGATAACTCATGGACCTCTTTCTTAACAGATTTATAAAGTTATATATAATTCAATTTTTTTGACTAAATAATATCAATATGTCTGTCCTGACACCTATTCATATAGATGAAACTATTTTTATGCAATAGACGATACCTAGGAAATAGCCTATAATTTAAATTTGATCATTGTATATACGTAAGATACATAAACTTATTTTTGAAATGATGTCCTCCAATTCATTCATATTGTGTGATATTAACTATACAACATGGGACAGTTAAACACCATGACTTCAACATCAGTCATTCAGAACAATGCATGTCATTGTAGTGCACTTCAAATGAAATGACTATAGCTACATGTCATCAAAATAGCTGATATACAGCCTGTTATTTTCTATCCTGATGGGACCCCGTAGCTTCTATGACCCTGATATCCATTGCTGAGAAACTGAATGCTAGTGATATATATTTCAAGACAAAACTGTAGCTGCATTTATTCGGTACTTCAATATATAACCTCACCACAAACTGCATATTGCATTGTAAAAGGGTATGAGGTCATCCGCTCTACTTAGGATTCAAATACTGAGAAAATAAATAGAACAAGAATTTTGAACAATAACATATTGAAATTGCATTGTCTTATGCAACAAGAACAAATGAAGCTCCAAAAAAAAAGAACAAATGAAGCTCAATCGTCAATGAACTATACTAAAATCACAATTTGATGGAGATAAAGAAAAGCTTTGCTAATAAGAAATTCCAATCCTGCTATAGGTTAGCTTACAGTGAAAAAGAAAGGTACAAGAAGAGAAATTTTACCTCATCAACAACAGCATATGCCGGCATGTCTAACTTGATGATCTCACAGAATCCAATGCGAAGTATCTAATAAGAAGAAATTGTGTAGTGTAAGGTGAGGAAACAAAGACATTAGAACTTCATGCTCATGGATTCGTTTTCTACAAGACATCTGAAAATTCCATATCAATCCTTCAACCACTAGGATGAGACAAATTCAGGAATCATTTATCTCATGAAAATAGGTGAAGGCCCACTCTGGTTAAAACTTGTCAAAGTTAAGGTGATGGCAAATATTACTACAGAGCTCTAAGACAAATTAGCAAAGTAAATACAGGTTTGTACCTGCAAAAGAAGTGGCTCCATGTCTCTAAATGTTTTTTCTTCATTACATAAAGACATGATAAGGTGGTCCAAATAGCGCTTCCAACGAATAGCGCTTCCAACAACATCCGTCACCTGTTAAAGAAAGGTTCATGCGCACTAGGAATGTACAAAGCAGACAAAGGAGCTAACTAAGGATACTTCTTGCATGACCATAAATTCATCTGTAATACAGTATAGCTTCCTATCTAAAGAATATATGACAACATAGTGACATGACATCCACTTGGATCAACTTGAGGCTTGAGCACACGTGTTCATATAGACAGGATAGGATATCTATTTATGTAGCTGAATTATTCCACCAACTTTCAGGATCAATCTTTCTTCCCGCAAGCGTGGAAACTTTAACTCTTAAATTTAGTGATACAGATAGGTAAGGTATTTTATTAATGATGAAGAACTTGAAAAGGCAAGTGAAAGATAGAAATTCTGGGATAAAATGAAAAAATTCAACAGTTATAATCATATACGGTTTGTTTATATCGGAAACCTTGAGAGGATTACTGTAAGGGATAAAATTGGTTTACCCAGGTTGATATGAAAAATTCTCAAGTGTTAAAGAGATAGACCATTATGAGTAAGATATACATTATTTTTTTCTAGTTAATATAGGAAAGCATTTTCCAAGTGTAAATATTGCCATTAGAACTATGCCACATTTAACAAAGACATGGCTGTTTGTTGAACCAAGAAAACAGAATAATTTGGTACTCTAGTAAAGGGTTCACCGTTCACAATATCAAAAAAATTAAAAACCAATTTCGTAATTAATGCCATCACAAAGTAAATCAGTAAAAAAATTGTTGGAATTATCAAAAAGATCAATGCATCAGAAAGTAACAGCCATAGTAAAATGTAAACAATTTTGAGGAAGGGAAAACAAGAATTACCAGTCTTATATCTCTATCATCCAAATCTCGTGTACGAAAACCTAGTGTCCTTTCGACATAGTCCATCTCATTTGTAGCTGAATTTCTCCCCTTCTCGATTAACAGGTCAGTGAAAGCTCCTCCCTGTTCAACCCTCAGCAGCCTCACAGCAGCAACTATTTCCACCAATGAAAAAAAAAATCAGTTGACGAAAAAGGTAATAAAATTCAATTTGCACAAAGCACCATAAGTTTTGAAATTATCATTATTAAAGTAGGAAGAATTCTTGCGGATTTAGTATGAAAAGGAAAAGAAAGAGTGAAAGACCATGCAATTGCTATTTGCAAGGCTTAAAAGAGATTACACTACATATATGCCTTAACACTCCTAGACTTTGGACACATGCAATGGGTGCAATGAGGACAAACTTGTATAAGATTCACAGAATTGGTCTTTGGAACAAACACTAAAACGAATTAAATTAATATATATGAATGATATACTTTTAATGTTATAGAGTGGTAATATGCTAAATAGTACTCCAATACAAAATTATAAACAGTGTTTTATGCTCAGACTTTCTGGAATAGATGTAAATATGGAGGATGCACATGTGAGTTCATATTTTCCCCTTGCAATTATCACAATCAAGAAGAACTAATGAGATGGAAAACAGATTTTTCTCTCCTTTTCATGGTATCACTCACAAGGTGATCTTTTATATATCTGTCCACTTTCTGCCCTTATACTTGTTATGTCAAGAATCGAAAATCAAGTGAAAACACAACTAATAGAAGAAAACTGGTCCAGCTAAACAGTAAGTATCTAATCCAAAATATGCACTAAGGGTGTCCAACCAATATCTGAACCAATTAGATTTAACACATCCAAAGCCTAATGATCTATAAACAGTACAGATTTGGGTATGAGTTTTCAGGTACTTCCGCTCTAATATCTAAATATTAGACTCTTAGGCTAAGGTGGTAACTGACATAGAATCAAACAACCCGGGCTTGCAGATTTTGAACCTCTCAGTAATTTGTTTTATCTTTTAAAGAAACCGCCTGAAATTTTGGTAACATATAAATTATCCAATGAAAGATACTCATGTATTGGGATACTATTTGTATAATGGGTTGAGTTTGACTTGACATACACAATCATCAAGCTACCTGATAACTTGAGCTTTTGGCAAATTTTCCCAAGTAATTACCAAATGGGTAAAAGATGTACATTTCCCATAGTACACATCAGTCCCAAGTGAAAAGCAAAAAACGATTTAGTAGTTCAAATTTACTCACTGATTTTCCTCTAAAGACTTGTTTCCACTGTTAAGTAAAAGTATTCAAATGCAACATTATAATGACAGGGTTATAACAATCACAGGACTGTTCCTTCATCAACAAACGCAAAACTTAGGGTGCCATGTGCCAAAAAAATCAAGATTATCCTTTTACCTGCTCTGTGTGGTGAAACTTCGAGATTCAAGTTGCTATCCCTCCTCATTGAACGCTCTGCAACCGGAACCCACTCTTTTAAATTTCATAAAGAAGAAGAAGAAGCCCCAGTTGAAAAATACAAATAGTAAGGTAACAAGTGCAAAAAAACATACAAAATTCTACCTTTATTCAAAGAAAAAATGCGAGAGTTTGCTTGATGGGTTTTGATGGAGGAGTGCTTGGAAGGGAATAACAAGAAAGAAGGAGATGATGAAGGGAGTGATTTTAGAGAGTGGTTAGGGTTTGAAGAGTAGGAGGAAGGAGAATTATGACAGAGAAGAGAGGGAGCTCCCTCCATTTTGGCTAAATTCTCACTCGCTGTTTTCTTTCCTCTGAAGACGATGAGGCGCTTGGAGTAGGTTAGCAATGCAGCCAAAAATCTGGAGGTTTATCTCTCGACGGAGCCTTTTAGCTTTTATGCCCCGTACCTTTTTTTTGGACAAATTTTCAAAAACGTCCTATTTGGACATTTAATCTCAAAAACCAACTCATTTCATATTTATTTTTAAAAACCGGCCTCGTTCAACCTCAGCGCCGAAACCAGGTCGGTTTTTGTGAAAAAACCTCACAAAAAGCAGCTATTTTGATAAGCTGCTAAACCTCACGGGACTTGAAGTCCCGTGAAGTTTGAAAGTTCAAAAAATCTTCACGGGACTTCAAGTCCCGTGAAGTTGTTTTAACTCATTCTCCAGAGAATCGCGGCTCTGGAAAATGAGAACTGCAACTTCACGGGACTTGAAGTCCCGTGATCACAGGACTGTTCCTTCATCAACAAACGCAAAACTTAGGGTGCCATGTGCCAAAAAAATCAAGATTATCCTTTTACCTGCTCTGTGTGGTGAAACTTCGAGATTCAAGTTGCTATCCCTCCTCATTGAACGCTCTGCAACCGGAACCCACTCTTTTAAATTTCATAAAGAAGAAGAAGAAGCCCCAGTTGAAAAATACAAATAGTAAGGTAACAAGTGCAAAAAAACATACAAAATTCTACCTTTATTCAAAGAAAAAATGCGAGAGTTTGCTTGATGGGTTTTGATGGAGGAGTGCTTGGAAGGGAATAACAAGAAAGAAGGAGATGATGAAGGGAGTGATTTTAGAGAGTGGTTAGGGTTTGAAGAGTAGGAGGAAGGAGAATTATGACAGAGAAGAGAGGGAGCTCCCTCCATTTTGGCTAAATTCTCACTCGCTGTTTTCTTTCCTCTGAAGACGATGAGGCGCTTGGAGTAGGTTAGCAATGCAGCCAAAAATCTGGAGGTTTATCTCTCGACGGAGCCTTTTAGCTTTTATGCCCCGTACCTTTTTTTTGGACAAATTTTCAAAAACGTCCTATTTGGACATTTAATCTCAAAAACCAACTCATTTCATATTTATTTTTAAAAACCGGCCTCGTTCAACCTCAGCGCCGAAACCAGGTCGGTTTTTGTGAAAAAACCTCACAAAAAGCAGCTATTTTGATAAGCTGCTAAACCTCACGGGACTTGAAGTCCCGTGAAGTTTGAAAGTTCAAAAAATCTTCACGGGACTTCAAGTCCCGTGAAGTTGTTTTAACTCATTCTCCAGAGAATCGCGGCTCTGGAAAATGAGAACTGCAACTTCACGGGACTTGAAGTCCCGTGAAGCTGCAGGTTTTAAAAAACATGCACAGCTTGTGCATGTTTCCTATATACGCAACGTAATTATAAAAGCTACACATACAATCCAAAATATATATGAAATTTTCGCCATGAATTAATCGATTTACATGAATCCAAACAATATATACTGAATCAAACAATAATCACAAAAATACACCTGTGAACAATAATCGATCTCATATACACTGAATTATAACAATATTCTTAACATTTAGCCATGAATTAAACATGAATCAAACAATACTCACGGAGATCAAATATATAAACAATAATTGATCCACAAAAGTAAAGTATTTGAAAAATCATAAAAGTTACAAATTTCAACAAAATAAGATCACATACAACCCAAAATTCCTCCTCTCCTTCCCCTCCCTCTCTTCCCTCTTCCTCTCCTGTCCATGCTGATGAGCCTCGATTATCTGAGTATCTGGTTGTGTATGAGGTTGAGAAGTACCGGCTCCATCAGCATGCGAAGTGTCGGCTCCATTGTCATCGTCACGTGGCCTACGTCGTCGCGTGTTCATTTGCCCAAATGATCGTGATCTGTCCTCACGGCCTGCAAACTTGTCAACACGAGTCTTATGAAACACATGTGCTATTATCTGTTTGATCCTGTTGAAGACCCCTAATGCCACCGTGCATGTGCTCATCAATCTCAGCTTCAATGTTATCAAAAGCACGGACCTGCGAGTTAAACAATATATATACACAATTTAGAAAATAACATCTTACTTAAAAAATTCTAGTTTTAATTTAGCTTAGAAACTTACATAATCTCTCTCGATCATCACTCTAGGGATGTAACTATCCATCGGTGGGCGTGGCAGGTGTCCAGCTGATGGTCATGGGTCACGTGTGATCCATCTACGTGTGACATCCCAATACCAACGCATATACGTGGTATAGTCAACAACTGTGTCTCTCGTATCCTATATGCAATCCTACCTGTGAATCCACCTGTCTATGTAGGCCGCCCAGAGTACGGACTAGTTCGTATGATGCGATGTAGGTCGTCGCCTACGATCGATCTGCTCGACAGGATTCGGCACATGCTGAGAGAGCAGAAATTATCGTAGCATACGGTCGGGGATATGCATCTCCACAATCTCCCAACAGATCAATGAAACTATGGCTCTCTACAAGTTAGGACTATCTCGAAAGATAGGTGCAAGAGTATGCATATCGAGCTCTGACGGTGAATAGGGTCTCCACTTGAACTGAAATAAGATAAAACATTTATCAGTATCAACAAACAAAACTGTGAATAGGGTCTCCACTTGAACTGAAATAAGATAAAACATTTATCAGTATCAACAAACAAAACTATAATATTCATAACGAAAGATAAAACATTTATCAGTATCAACAAACAAAACTATAATATTCATAACGACTTAAGATTTATATTTACCTGTTCGTGTTGGAGTCCATCAAGCTCATTGCGGTAGAACTCCCAATGTCGCGTCGCTGATTTATACTTAGCGTACCGCACGTTATACCTATTTGGCATAAAGAATATATGAGTACAAATTCAATATGAATAAAATTGTGTGGACAATTATATCTGTATGCCAAAGGAAATTGGCCCTATAGGTCACGGTGCACAAGCAAAGTAGGTCGTCCAATATGAATGCGCTCTCATGACCAAATCTATATCAATGTGTAGCATCTCTTGAATTCTTTATTCTGCATCAAGGATACGCTACCCAATTCTCTATATAAGTATGCCAACACCGTACTGCCATATGGTAGTGCGCCGCATACATCAAAATCCTCTAGTAGTGGCAGCCATCGTGCATGTACAAGAGTCTTGCTCGCATCAGGATATAGTGTGCACTCTATCATGTGCAATATGTACGCACGAGCATGATACTGAAGCGTCTCAATGGAGGCATCTGCCGGTATATCTCCCTGAAATGTCTGACGAAGCCACGATAGATTCATCGCATCACTCCTCATGTCGGGTACCTGACCAAGAAGCCTAGCACATACCTCAGCTCAATTATGCTTATCGGTGCCTGTAACTATCGGGTCATCGATGCGAAGCCCAAGTATGACGGCTACGTCTTGTAAAGTGATAGTACACTCCCTATATGCATGTGAAAGGTGTTGGTCTATGGCCGCCACCTCTCAATAAGTGCACTGATAAGCGGCCAATCAAGCCTAATATATCGCACTGTCGAACACTCCCGGAACCCGGCTTGAGCTATTAACTCTAGTACTCTCTCATCGTGGATGACCCAAGCCGAATGACTCTGTGAATGATCGACCATGGTAATGTCTGGTACGGGCTGCACATTAAACAAAATTAATTAAGTATATTGAGAAAAATTTAATTTAGTGCAAAAAAATAAGGAATGTTTTTATATATAATGTTTTACTTGTCCTGAGCCAATAAGATCTGAACAATGACTCGCCTGGAGGTACAAAACGATGCCATGTATCGGTCCCGGATCCATAATGGATATAGCTACATATTACAACAAACAAATGTGAACCAGGATTAATTAGAAATCAAACAATAAATCCCAAACATAGTACAAAACGCTACATATTACAACAAACGAAAGTGCAATGTGTACCAGGATTAATTCTGTATCAAACAATAATATTAACATAGTACAACAAATGCTACATATTACAAATACGAATGTCACATGTGACCAAACATTAACATTAAAAATCAACGCCTAATCCTAGCTGGACAACTACTTTTGTTGTGGCCCGGTTGATCGCATCTACTACACTTATTTTTCCTCCTAATTCCTTCTCGACCGTCATTCATGGAATTTCTAATTCGTACGAAACGAGGGTGCCCGGCCGATCTTTTATACAATGGAGGTAATATTCGCGGCCCGTCTTGTGTCCAATGTCGACTATCATATGGTGGACGAAAACACTCCTTGTACGTTTGTTGATAGTTATAAGTTGAATGCCAATTTGTGACGAATTCATAATGTGAAATACTCGCACCACCCTGTAGATCAGAGCAAGCTGCGACAACATGTGAACAAGGAATCAATTGTAGTTGTGGTACATTGCAAATGCACGTACACGTGTGATCCACTAGCATATTGACTTTGTATGAGCGACTTTCTCTATGTGATATTCCCTCAATGACCTCCCATTCATTAAAACTGTATCTTACGACATGAAATGATCGAGCGGAGATAATCCGAGCCACTAACATTTCTTCAACCTTCGGCATGAGCTCTGAGAGGATATTTGCACCAAGTTCTCAACGTCAGCGAAAGAAATTATTATGTCTGTAAAATATTTTAGCAACTAGGATTTGAATGCCGCTTGTTCTGTTCCCCCCAACAGGATAATTGCAAATAATATTGAGGTAATACTCACGTGAGTTGGTTAATGTAAGTTTGTGTAAGTCATTAACCAATACATCGAAAGTAAACGGTTTTGATATAAACAACAGCTTCGTGACACTTCCTTCATAAACGGGCATATTATTTTGAGATAGTTAATCTTCCCATCATATGAACAAAGAATTACGATTCGATCGTTCATCGTTACCTCTAAAGAGTAAAAAATTCAATATAAATATTAGAAACCCATAATTTTAGATAGTAAATCTCTTAGATCGATATTAGATCGATATTGGTAAACCCATAATTAGTAAACCGCTAATTTTAACCAAATATCAAACCTTAATTTCCCCTCTAACTTCACGGTTACAAATGTCAATAATTTCCCCTCTAACTTCATACACAGTATTAACTAAT